TGAAGGAAATAATTCTCATTGCAGATTATATGCGGATATTAAATCGTAAAAATTCTCAATGTGTTTGAAGTATTTTCAGGATATAATCCTTAATTGTTAGTTTTCAACTTTACGTCAACACGGTGTTATAAATTGTTTTTTTTTTTTTATTATTTCTTTAATGAACGTCCGGCCAGCGGTACTCGTCCGGTCGTTTGCCTCGTGTGCAAAACAACAATATATCCTCATAAATCTCTCGGCCGCGAAAGAGTCTCCGGTGAATTCTTTCGTGGTTTTTTGAACATATATAAACGACAATCCTGTTGAATGTGCATGATCGATAGCGATCGAAAACACGACACGAATTCGTCTCCTCCCGAGGAGAGAGAGCGTCGTCTTATTACGAGCACGAAAAGTCGATCAATCTCGATATATCGAAGGGGAAATAAAACTAGCCGCGTTGTAGTGTCGCGCGCGCGATTAGACGCTCGCGAAGGCTAAGGTGCACTCGAAGCGAATTGTCGTCCAACTGCTGCACAGATTAGGGACGCGGATCGGCACGTGACGGATCGATGCGTACGTGCCGGTGACGCGTACAATTCGCCGTTGTTTGGACGTTTAACGTCGATCGTTTTCGCGATATGTATGCGCAAACACGTACAGAAATATAAACATATCGTTTCCGTCGAACAAACAAGTCTGTCAATTCGAGCGAGCTGTTTTGACTTCTGGTCCCGTGGAACTCCCAATACCGACCTCGAAAACGTCACCGAATGTTCGGAAAATAAATGTCCATTTGCGCGACGAGTAAATATTCTTATCTCTCATTGCGGTAACATCAAGCAACGTAACAATTACGCGTTTATCGTTCATCAAACATCAGTCACTTCAAACGCTAAAAGAATCACACATCCGGAATTGCAATTTATATTTGCGATTTTGAGTAGTTTTATCTCTGTAACAAAAAAGATAAAAAAAAAAACAATTAAGTGCGAAATATTGAAAATCCTCGCGAAGCTGAAACATTGCATGGATTTTTGTCAATTAGGGTAAAAAGACCCAATTACTGTCACCTGAATAATAAACTCTGGCGTTAGCGATTTGTTTTTACTACTTATTTATCAAAAACATGTGTTTTTCTTCTTATCTGGTATTATTCGATGTCTCTGATATAAGGAACAAAATAATACCGCCTCTCAAAATCTCTATTTTTTTATTTATAAATTTAATAATTAAAAAAGAACGATGCGAGGAGAGCTATTACCGTCACCCCCTAAAATGAAAGAAATGAGACAAGAATGTTGAGTGCTGGATTTTTTGTTATATTAATTGCACTTAAAATTCTATGTTAGATTGTTTTCATGCAAAACTTTTTAGAATTTATTTAATATTTTAAATAAAATAGCTTAGGGTGACGGTAATTGGGTCTTTTACCCTAATTATTTCAATATTAAAGAAATTCAAAATATAATAGTAAATTTTTTATTTCCCGACGAAGTAACGGACGTGGTTAAACTGGATGTACACTCCGGTTGTTCCACGAGTGTTAATAGACTTAAGCGCGCGGCAAAAATTAAACGAACACACCGGAGATTATGTAATATAGGCCGCGCATATTTTTTGCGCGCGAATTATAACGACGGGACACATCCCACTTCCTCTCGCGAGTTTGAAGAAGTCGAGAACCGGCGCGCGTAAAATCTTTTTTTTTTTACAAGCGCGATTGATTGCGCGGCGGCGGAATCTTATAAAATTGCTCATTCGCGAGCGACGATCGCATCTATCATATCCGCCAAACAACGGAAACACCATTGTTAATGAGGCGCACATTCTGCTCGTAGATTATCGTTTTCCATTTTAAAATTGGTGGTCGATAAATCATCTGCGCGCGCATGCACACACACACCCGCCCATACGTTTTCGCGGAATTACTTGGCGCTAATTACGACGATTCCCGGAGTTTTCCGCTCGAACGGTGGGTGTGTATACGACCGATGATGGGTGTATAACGAGAAGAACGCACGCACAGTTTCGTTATACTTCACTAACGAACTACGAAATGCGTCTGTACACGTCTGTTTAATTAAAAAAAAAAATCTAGAACGCGCGATACTTAACGCTCCCCTCAATCGTAAAATTGATGGAACACGAGTCACGCACCCGATTCCCCCCGTACAAAGGGAGTATGTACACACCTTTATTTATTTTCTTTCTTCTCGTAAAACGTACAGCTGAATGCGGGAGGGGTGATAAAAATAGGGGAAAAATAAAATTGACGCTACCGCGAGGGGACGCGGTCTTTGAGACGGAAATTGCGTGACTGGTTTGAATCACCCCCTCACGTAAGCTGAAAATATTATATCATTGATTCAACTCGGAAGTTTGTTTCTCCGTGTCGGGGAAAAAAAAAACGGAATTTTTTTTTGTCAAAAAGCAATCGTATGAGAGAGAATTTGAAAATAAGTTGACGGAGGGCTAAGCGCTTTTCTACGTCGATCGAAACGCAATTTGAAATCGAAAGAAATTAACAATGTTCCCGATGTAGGTTCCCGCGTGCGTTTTCGCGAAAACCTCGCGGAAGTTCACGCGCCGGTGCACTCGCTTGCGCACACTCTCGCGTAAGGAAAGTCACGTATATATAGGTACCTGACTAATGTCGCGGCTGGCGAAACCGGTTGTGCAGAAAGTCCACCGCGACAACCTTGAGTCGCGAACGCACCACCACGTCGTCGCCGTTGTCACTATCTCGGTGGCCGATCGAGGTGAGACGTTTTCTCCGCGTGCAAATTCGAACGTGCAAGTTCACGGTTTTTCCCCGTCCGTTCGCCATTTTTCTCTCTCTCTCTCTCTCTCTCTCTCTCTTTCGGACGAAAAACTATCGAATTATTAGTCAACTAGCACTATTTCATTTTGTCTATTATCATTTTGTGACACGTATATAGACACACGCACACACGCACGCACGCACGCGCAATGAGGAGCAATTGATAAATAAACTTGCTTTCAATCAAGTTCAACTAACGAGAATTAAGCGGGATTATTTTCAATAACAAAGTTCTATGAAATCGCAAATTCTACCTCAATGCGTAATTAGCAATGAAAATCTCAATAAACACAGTTGCAATTTACCTTTGCGGTCGAAGCGCGCAAAATTACCTTACCATAAATTAACATAAATTCCCCGTCGTGAAAATCACAACGTAGATACATCCGCGCACATTACAATATTCTACAATATAACACACAACATTTTTCGAGTGTGTGTGTGTATATAGCGCGAGATTTGCATCGGGGGGAAATTAAATTTTCCTCATATCTTTGTTTCAACGTACGTACATATTTTCATTACGTTAATTCTACTCGCTATTTTTTCTTTGCACTCACGTAATTTTTTTTACCTCTTATTATTTAAAAGCCAAGTTTTCTCGTTGGTTTTTCATTAAAAAAAAATTAAAAAAAAAAAAAAAAAAATCTCGAAAAATAAAATACTTGTGTTTCTCGCTGCCTCATTCTTTCTCACAATCGACGTTTCTCGATTGCGAGCGAGAGAGTTAAATTGCGGTTTGTAACTCCGTCTTCGCGAACGGTCACGGAGGATTGATTCGTCGCGAAAACGCGAATTCATAATGACGGCGGTGAATCGTGATGCGTTTTCGCGAGGATACAAACAACAAAAACGTTTCTTTCTCACAAGACGAAGAAACGGGCAGGGATAATTGTTTCTCTTTTTTTTTGTTCTTCTCTTTCTAAAACTTGTATCCCCGCAACGTTCAGCGACACGCTAAGTTTTCTTCGCTTCTTGTCGCTTTTTTATTGCAGGTAAACAACTTCAACGGGGCACGTTTCCCTGAGGTCACAGCCTTCTAGTCAGGTCATCGGATTCCACGGCGATTAATGCGCAAACATGTCGGAGAAGAAAAGTATTTAGTTCTTTATGAGAAGAGATATAGATATATATATTAAGATGTATATATACGTAGTTGTTTTTCACACTCACAATAGAAGTTGTAAGTCACGTATTAGCACATGCTATTTCTAGGAACATCTATTGGGTCAAGGCGCGCTAGTGAAGTGACGTAAAATTTCGTGTACGAATACAATTAATACGCAAGGTAACTCGAATGCCACACTCGAAAACACCTGATTCGCAATTTGTAAACAACAATACATTTAACAATGAGTATTGCTGTCGCATAAAAACATTGTTTGTAATTAAAATTTAAAATAAAATTTTCAATTTGTCACCTAATATCTGATCTTCTGACTGAAACAAAACGGTGTAAAGCTAGTTATTTTTGTTAAAAAAAAAAAAAAAACCTCCCGACGTGAACCGGCATGAGAAAACTTGAACGTGACAGTTGAATTAGTCGCTTGTAAACAAGCACTTCAATTACGTGTTCTTATTCAATTCTCAGAGTAAATATCACACAAGGACATTTTCCGTAATTTCACACTCCATCATGAAGATATCGATTGCGAGTGTAGAGTTCCGTTCTTGCGACGTATACCTCGTCTTTCTCTCTCTCTCTCTCTTTCTCGCGCTAAAAAGATGTTGCTTTGACCGGTCGCTCAACTCTATAACCACCCCCTGTAAATACGCGCCTCCTACTATCCTCGGTGAATTAGCACATTATGTAACGTAACTAGAGAGAGAGAGAGAGAGAGAGAGACCGCCGCGCAAACCTCGATTCTCCGTGAATATGACACTTTCTTTCGCGCGAAATTTCCTCGCGCGGATGAAAAACAACCGACGGATTTGAGAAATGGAATCTATTTGGAAAAAAATGTGTTCCGAGTAAAAAATTTTATCTTACAAGAAAAAAATAAGCGTAAAATATAATTAAAAATTCTTGAGAGCGTTTCTGAGGTTAATTATTTTTTGAAAACGTTTCCTTCAAACATCCCCCCGTCAATTTAACGGAAACAAAACAAGCCGGAAGATAAAAATCGTGATTTTCCAAAAAAAAAAAATTACATCACGAGACGCACGCACGGCACAAATACATTTAGTGAATTTTTACCTGACACTCGCAGCCTTTAAAGACTCTAAAGATACGATGTGCAGATCGAGATTGAAGAATTCGATGCATCGAGTGAACGCGGAGCGACACTCGTCTCGAGCACTTTCACGTCTCCGTCAATCCGCCTCTTCTTCGCCTTCAACAAGCTTATGCATTTTCGCGCTTCTCAATCGCGATCTTCAGATAATACGCAAGTATTATCCCTCCGTGTACATCATTACTTTTTTTTTTTTTTTTTTGGATTTCTAAACGGCGACGTCGCAAGTAAAATGACAAAACTGCGAACAAAATACGAAACTATATTTCAAATGTAGTTTTTCAGGAAAAAAAAAAACAAGACAGACACGTCAACATTTCACATTTTAATTAACATTTTAATTAATGTTTCTTAATACGTCGAAAAAATTCAAATTAAATTATATCAAAACTAGCCAATTAAAAGTAAAAAATACTAAATTGTAATTGTAATAAACACAATTACAATGTAATTAATGTTTTAACGTTTAATAATACGATACATAGGATACGTTCGAACAATTTGTTTCTCGTGTACTACGTTCTAGATTCTGCACTTTGTTCATCATTTGATATATTAAATCAAACAAAAAATGCTTGCGCACTCGTTCGTCAGCCAAGTTGCGCAAGATATATATATATATATATATATATCAAACAATAAGATGCGCGACGCAAGTCGCTCTGATTTTACTTTCGACCACTACCGACACACAAGACAGTCACTTGCGACCGACGAAAGCTGCCCGAACTTTCACAGCGAGATCGTTCACGCCGGCGACGGGCGTGCTAATGTTAGAAAGACCCGCCGAGTTTGTGTGTCGTTACACTCTTTTAGCTAAATATACTTGTTTACCTCCATAGATTCGGTCGCGAGACCTATTTACCGCGCCGGAGTTAATTTACAACCTCGCTCAATTCTATCTCCGCTCGTTAAACGCGCGCGCGCGCATCTCTTGTTCTATATACTTCAGTATAAAATAATTTTAACATGAAACACCGAAACAAGAGTAACGTTAGTATATTCAATGTACACCTAGTTTCGCCACGTCAACTCGAGCGCCCATGAGAGTTCCTTAAAGAAGATTGCGCTTAAACGCTCGGTCGGTCTTAATTAAGACGGATTATATCCGAGGGAGACAGCCAAATGATCAAGCGCGCGAAATCCGCGAAGTCATTAGTTGCAAGCGGTGTTGCAACGACATCCAACTTCAATCCCCGATCGATCCCATGATGCAATCTTGCGTCATTTTGCATTCCTCGCCTCAAGTGATTCTATCGATAAGCCACGGTTTCTGAAATTGTTTTTCGCGATTAGTCAATTGGCTCGCTTTCAAATAGAGAGATTGCACACACGCAATTATGTGTAAATAAAAAAAAATTGACCTCGTTTTCTTATTTCCCTTCCGTTCGCGCGATTTCCAAAAGACACAATATTATTTACATTCAAAAAGACACGAAAATAATTTCGAAATGTAAAATTTCCAATTTTTCTTAAATTATTTTCTCTCCGTCTTTCGACCTCGTCTTTCACGACCCTCTTTCACGTTCTCCTCGCGGAGAGATAACGCGAGAGACGAGTCCTCGAGAGAAGCGAACGATCATCGACGTCTCACTCCGCGTGACTTCCAGTCGGAAGGCCGATCGGTGCTTTCACCTCACTTACGATCGTCCTCGTCACGAGCGCTCTCGTCAAGGCCGTTTCGAGGATGTCACACACAACTTCTGCGTCATTCTTGTAACCGGGATATACACGCGATTTGTACGCGCGCATATAGGAGAGTGCGCCTAGATAAGACGGATTAATATTTAATTACGCTTAGGGCGACTAGCGCGACGCGCTTTACTTTAGACGGTGGTAGTTCGCGCCGTGTTCTGCTTTCAACATCGACGAAACACGCCTCGATGAACGATTTGAACATTTTGCTCTTGAAAATTGCGATGTCTCATTTGTTGAAATTGTTTGCGCACACACAAGTATATTCAACAAAATAGAAAAAAAGAATGAGAACAAAAAAAAAAAAAAAAAATACACTTTCGATATCGCGCGCATTCGACAGACAAAAATAAACTATTTGAATTTTTTTTAATTTTACACGTATCTGTGTGAATAATTTAGAACGATCGACGTAAACGCACGTTAATATTAATGTTAAATATCATGGGGATTTAACATTAATATTAACGTGCACACACATGTCGATCGTTTTGAAGTATTAAAATAGATACGTGTAAAATGTAAAAAATTCAAATATGTTAAATTCCTATACGGTATTTAACATTAATATTAACTTGCACATATGTCGATCGTTTGAAATTATTCACACAGCTACGTACAAAATGTAAAAAATTCAAATAGTTTACTTTTGTCTGTCGAATGCACGTGAAGATTTTTAATAACGTGTGTATTTTTCGCAATTTAGATTATGTGTGAGCGGCGTATGTTACGTAAACGTTATCCGGCACACGTTTCTTTTTCTTTTTTTTTTTTTTTTTTTCATTTACATCCAACGGAAAAATGAATAAACTTTATTTTTTTGAAATAAAAGGAAATATTTCGAGAGCGATAGAAACACAAACCGGTTGGTTCCGCGGCGGTGTTTACAGAATTATTGTGTATTTTATTGAATATAGCAAAACGCGTGTACGGTAAGGTGGTCGAACAGCTGTGTGTGATTTCGCACGGTCGCTCGTGTGTCGGTTCCGCATAAATTTAAAATTGGTGCAACGAGGACGATCGATCCCGCGACGGTTTTCGGTAGTGAACTGTTATGATTATCGCGCGTCTACCTGTTCATATCTATACGTCAAATTGCAGAGTGCAGGTGTTAAAGCTTATCGACCGTCTGTGATTACTTCGACAAGACCTTACGATCCCTGCACATTATCGATTACGATGTACAACCCTGCACGGCACGCGCTCTCGACCGTCGTTAATCGACATTTGCGTTATCACGTAAGCAATGCGCGATAAGAGTCCGAGAGAGCTCTAAGGTTTTGCTATTTGCTTATTTGCATTGCGCGTATTTGTTTTTTTCAACGTTTCGCTCTTCCTCTCACGCGACAAGCACCGATTCACATTGAACTCCTTCTCGTCTGTGTATTCACCGAAAAAATTGTATTCTTGTTTTGAGGATATCCCACTTACTTTGAGTATATTTTATACTAAAATAGGCGCCAAGAAGAGTTTCTTATTTTAAGAAAAAAATCCTCTAAATAGTAATATTGATAAGAATATATACTGATTAGAATATAAAAAGCCTCTATAGAAAAACATATATAT